AATATCATAAACATGCAACGACTAGTCAACTATTGGCTTAAAACAACAACTACTATTAATAGATCCTCTTAAACATTACAAAATGGACCATTAATTAGTTTACATCATAATCAAGCCTAAGTCATTATTATAGGGTATCGCTAATCCTTAGTCGGCTTTTATGTTTGCACAGTAAACTGTTCAGTTGTTGGACAGTGTACGTGTGGTTATCTGCTTTCTCACATAGGTGCTGGGGTCCTGCAGGTTGTAGGGTCGCAGGAAATCTTCAACAGGCTCTCCCAGGTTGTTCTCCAGCAGCCCTCTGATCAGCTGGTAGTGCTCCAGGTCCAGAGAGCAGTGTACTGATGACAGGCTGCCATGGATGGACATGTCAGGAACTGCATGGCTTAGCTCCCTAACAGCATCAAAGAACAAAAGCATGAGTTTAAATAATGAGTATGTTATACTGACACTAGGTACATTCACATACATACTGAAAAAACTTCTATGGCTTAAAATAGACCAGGCCCAGCCCTTTTCTAAACAACTGCTCTCTTTAAACCAACCCCATTACCCATGTAAAAGAGGTGCTGCATTTTAAAACTTAACACTTAAGAACACTCTGTGCCATGTATCGGAATGCTGAATGCTATTTTTTTTTTAAATTAATAAAAAAAAACACCAGCAAGCTGAAGAGACCACTGCTGGTACACCACACCAGAAACAATACCAGTAAGATAATACCAATTTCTGCTGCATGTGTAACTGTTGGATAAAGAGTAAGCCATATCAAACTGGTAAACCAATTGCATAATAAAGAAAGTCACATTGTCGTAATGTGTTTTAAATTCTTTCTGCCCTCCAGTGGTCAAAATGTCTTGATGCCGCTTTATTCATGCTAATGAATCCAACAAATATATGTATGGTTTGTTTGAGTATTATTTCAAGTAGGGATGTCCTGATCCAAGTGTCTTTACCCTGATCCTTATCGAAGTCCTTTCATATTGTGTATCTGCACATACAGAGTCTGACTTTTATTTACTTAAACGTAAATATGTATCTGACACATTGAAATAACGTGCAAGCTACTAAATTTGGCTTTTAGTCGTCTTTTATCTGCTAAAGGCAAAAAAAATATATATTAGGATTTTATCAGAGGGCAAAGGTGAACAGTAAATAGTGTTAAATATATAGAGTTAAAGAGGCTCACTTACAGTCATTTGATAAGTTTTCTTTATTGTTGAATGGAAGTACTGTTGCTGTTGGAGGGCCAGGTTTGGCCCACACGCCACTACTTGTCGACTGTACATTATTATGAGGTGTAGGTATAATGTTTCTATTATGTATTTTCTTCAGACACAGAGAGCTGACTGTAAACAACTGACAATAGATGGACGGACTGACCCATAGTCCCAAGAGACACAGTCCTACATTGTAATTTTTGGCACCAATAAAACAAAAAGCAGGCCGTACTTGTCCAGGTTGCGTTCCACTTTAAGTTTGAGGCGGCAGCAGTCCTTAAGCAGGTTGTCTCCGGTGCGACGGACAAAGTACGAAGGAAAGATGAGGTCTGTGGATTCTGGAGGTTTACCACTACTGTCCCATGGCTGACAGGGAAGATGCTCTGCAGCAAATATATCCATCTCCTGCAGGTCGAAGGCAATGCAGTCCAACAGGCACACATGGTCTTCTAATGGGGAAAACACATCAGCTATTTTTAGTAGTGTTTTTAGTAGTGTACAATGGAGAGAGAAAATAATGGCATAAGTGAGGGGACAACATGGTGTGTTTTTGTCTGGAAAATTCTGTCTTTAATTTGTTAAACATAATGGGTTTAAAGTAAACTTCTTAGCCTCATTATTGAGGTCCACCTTTTCAGGTTTCTCTTCAGCTCTACCTACATACAGTAATTGCAGATGCTTACCTAAGCTTTGAGCGTCATACTCCTCAGGGGTCCTCCCTGTGCCTGGGGCCTGTGGCCTGCCAAGGGTGAACCCTGTGGAGGAGGAGCTGGAGGGGGAGGCTCTAGGCCTCTCCTGCTCACTAGTCCGCCCTGCTGCACTCTGGACACGCTCCTTTTTCAAGAGAAAAGACAGAGAAGAGACATACAGTTGCACTTCAAGTCAATTTAGCAATATACTGCATACACACAAAAGCAGATTACTTTTTAAAGGGGCCAAATCAGAAAATAAATACAACATAATTTACCGAGGGGATTAGATATGGTTTTAATAAATAATTATCTTTGTTTATAAGACGTTACCAACATAAAATCATTTTCAACTGTGGAGGATAGTGCTAAAACTTTGGAATCAAAGGGCTGAGGAGTGTAGTTGTGCCAACAACAGTATGAGAAATGTTCCTACTGTTTGATAAAGGTCGCAGAATTCCCATTTGAAAAAAAAAAAAATTGGCACTGACACTGTGATATTAAGCCAGAGAAATCAGTGAATTTATCTTTTCCACTGTTTGTAATAATAAGTCTACCGTTTTAAGCAAAGGAATAAGATTTACTTGAACCATTATGTTGCATTTTTGAACATTTTCATCCAGTCGATCAGACACCGGGTGAAACACATTCTCAATGACAGTCAACAAACACTAGTATTTCAAAATCAAATTGTATCAAAACAGCACAGCAACTTCTCCCAGTAAGCTCTCTGATCAGTGTATATAACTCTTAAGTTGTTAAAGTGTATATATGACTGTTGAGAGTTGCACATGTGCAGTACAGATAATGGCAGTGTGTAAAGACAAAGTTTATAGGAGAAATGTGAGCATTTCAATTAGTTTAGTTGGGTGGCATTAGAGGATGTGGTTCAAACTCCAAGTATGTATTGCACAGTTTGCTGCAAGTTTAAGAGCAAGGCAGATCAAATGTGGTTGTTTTTCAAAAGTACATCAAAGCTCCTGAAGAAGACCCCTGGAGTGCCAAATTTGCTTGAATGGCAGCTATAAGTCCTTGTTATTTGTTTACCGCTGATAAATAAGCCACTAATAAATAAAAATTGACTTGGAGCAAGTAGACATCTGAACCACTCATCTGACAAGGCAAGTAAAAAAAACATTTATGTTAAACTAGGGCTGCACAATTTATAGAAAAACATAATATTGCGATTATTTTGATAGATATTGTGATTGCCGTATGATTCACAATTAGTGTGGGAATTATCATTTTATGATACTAGACCATGGTATCTGAAGAACTATGTACATCATTTTAATGCCGTTTTTCACACATTTTACCTTTATCATCACAGAAAATTGTAGTTTCTGTGGCTTTGCCATCACTGAGTGAATGTGTGTGAAAGGGCGAATGTGCCATGTAGTGGAAAAGTGCTTTGAGTGGTCGGAAGACTAGAAAGGCGCTATAAAAGTACAGGTCCATGCATTTACCACTTGATCATATTCCATAATAATATTTCAATTAATTGTGCAGCCCTGCGTTGAACCCTGTAGAGGTCCACTCCTTATTTCCCACTTTATCATCCTATCATTACTGAGTTGAGGGCAATACTGATGGGATAAGGGATCAGTATTATTGGTACTATTCCAGGGGACTATTCCAGTCATATACACAAACATGATCAGGGAGCTCGAAAAGTTGGTGTAATCCACACATGCAACAAATATTTAGGAAAACGCTCAGTCCATCACATAACCAGACAATCAAACCAACTGCAAACCAGGGCTGGGCAATATGTCATGACAACTAAAGTAATGTAACAGCAAATAATTTGAAACTGTATCACCAGGCGTTCCAAAATACAGGAGCATTGTGAATCTACAACTCAAATGAAATGCTCCAACAAACAACAAAGTTCAAATCTGCTTTTAAGTGCAGTTTAAGAGTGACATGTGATAACTGTGTCTATGTCAAAGAAATCATTGACATACACTATACTATCACCCATCTGTAGTATGTCATTCAGAGTACTGTGAATTTTGGTGTAGGATGAAAACTGAAAAGTAAAACTGAGAATGTGACAACCATTTTTCACACTAAAAAGCAAAAAGCATGCCGTTGTACCTTGTAATGGGATGGATCCTTGTATGAATTTGCATGCAGTATAAAATTCTTCACAAAACATAAGATGCATATGAAATACCAATACGACATTTACCTAGTGTTCTCCTTCCAAAACACATATCTCTCATACAAATGACAGCCTTCAGTTCTTCAGTACACATGACTGAGCTGGCCTCATTAGATTGTTGGTGAATGGACATAAACCCAAAGCCAAAGCTCAAAGCTGGCTTACTATGTATGTGAAAATGCGGTCAGGGTTGAACCAGGAAAAGTGACTCTTATTCAATGGTGGATAGTAACACATTACAGATTATAGGTAAATTACCAGTCCAGAGACTATTACAGACTTTGACTAGGTTTAGTTATGGAACCATGCTTGACATTCTTCAGTAAACCATCAGGCAGTGCTGTATTCATTGAGCATTTCAGATGAGATTCGAATGATAAGGTCAATTGCTAAAAATAATAAGATGATGAGAAATCATCAGTAGAGGGTTTCCATTGCTTTTTCAGGGAGCCTGATGTTGGTTGTATCAAAAACCAAGTAACATTTTTAAAACATGGGTAATACCATTAAATGCATAAATGAATACAGTAAAATTAGACAAAAGAAGAGGAGGGAGCATTGCATGGGGTGGATGAACGGGAAGCGTGACTCACCAGAGAAGGAAAAAAGGCATGTGCCATGGTGAGTTTCTCTACCTTGTCTTTGAGGGAAAAAGTCCCATGAGCCCCAGCTGGTAGGAAGCAGTTCTGCACCTTCAGCTGGCCGAGGTTGGCCACGATGACCCTTGGTGACCGTGAGCTCTCTGGGATGAGAATAACTGGGGCGCCAGCCTCAATATCCAACAGAACCCTGGACGCTCGCTGAGGATGATCCCGTACCTGCAGGAAGAGGCAGGAGAAAGACAGCAGAGAGGAGAAGAACAGGGCGTGGAGGAGGGGAGCAAAGGGACAAGAGAAGGGTAGATAGAGAAAATAGTAGAGGAAAGAGTGGGAGGTGATTTAATTTAGACAACAAATTGAGGAGGAAGCAGGGGAGAAATATTATTCTCACATTACTGGATAATATACAGTGTGTAAGACCTGTATGCATGTTATCTGAATCAAGCACTCCTACTGCAAACTGTAGAAATGATACTGGATCAAACTGGAGCTATCTTTCTTAAAGTATGTGGCTCTATTAGGGCTTTCACGATAACGAAATTTCAATTTACAAGCCAAACACCACTACAACTTCATGTGACGTCACATCAGAATTAGTTTTTAAGACAGGAAAGTAAATAAGTAAGTAAGTAAAGCTTTATTTATATAGCACCTTTTTGACACAGAGATCTAAAGTGCTTTACAAACAACAAATATACATATGGGTATAACCATACACAAATGAAACACACATAGGGAGCATGTAAATACAAACATAAGGAAGATAAAACAAGAGGGAAGGATAAATTAAAAGAGACAACAGATGAGAAAAAAAACAAGATCTATAAAAAGGTTTGCCTGTAGAGGTGGGTTTTGAGGAGCCGCTTAAAACAGTCCACAGATTC